ACCATTCTGCCCTGTTCTTGTAATGACCACAGTCAGTCTTATTCGTTCTCATACATTTTCGTCTATTTTTAGAGAATGTTTTGAAATAAAAGTCAAATTGCATTTAACCTGTGCGTTTTTTTTATTATAAAAAGAAAAGGTTTTCCACATATGCAAAAAGTGCCCTTTTTTCCCCCTGGAGCACTTGCCCCCCAAAATGTCTGTGCACGCCACTGGCGGTGTAGTTTCCTACGAAATCATACGTCAAAACGTGTTGCGTTTCCTATGGCTATTTAGCGTAAAGGTCCCATTTGCTTTTGTGCAGAGTACAAATGTTCCCAGTCGAGACGCAGGAACCTGTAAACCGGGACCAGGTTATGACATGACGTGCAAATGAGCCGATAGAAAACCTACCGCGCAAATGTCACAAGTGGTTTTTTACGCTCCCCTGCGTGTCTGCCCAAGGCGCCCATACCTAAATGCGCCAGTTGGTGGCGTAGTTGTGTTTCCTGGGTACCTCGCAAGCTTCAGTGACTGACAGCCGTGCAGAACTGGTGCGTGTGAAACAGTTACTTTCTGCAGCTGTCTGAGATTGTCGGATGACATTAACAGGTAAGCACTTATGGACATTAAATAAGCTTATGAATAGGCTAATTAAACAAATCTTGCCAGCGTCTAAACTAGAATAATCGAGGGTGAAATCGCTAATGGATTTTTTTTTATTTGATCACAGTAGTACATCTCATTTTTTCGTGATGACTATGGTAAGCTGATAAATTTTCTTTGATGTTTGGCATCACATTCCACTAAAAAAAAAATACAATGACGACATATAAACCACAAAAAGTTACTCATTTTATACAACATATGTGTTCTATCGAGTACAGATATATGTTCGCAGAACACAGGAAGTCATGTATTTCGTTCTCTGCGCCCATGTTTAGCACTGAAATTGCCTAATGAATAACTGGAAATGCGTGTTAGCTGGTGTAAACAATGCTAGTTTAAAAATATTTTTAATTACGTGTGGAGTATGTGACATAGCCTATTTGATTTTTTTAACAAGAAATCTCTGACATTTGTATGTGTAAAAGTAGTGAATTGAAATGTTCAGGATGTTGCGTAAGTTTGTTTTTTTGTTGTTTTTTTGTTGTTTTTTTTGCACATTTCTGTCGGACCGTACAGTCTTCTTGTGTTCAATGTCCCGGCTGTCAATATGCTACCGTTTCTGATCTGGATCCAGATTTTATCAATAAACGGTAAGTAATTCAGAATGATGTCACTGATGTCTAAGCAATTATACGTAAGTCGCTCTGGCTAAGGACGTCTGCCAAATGCCATAAATGTAATGTAAATGTAAGATCGTATTTGTGCAAAACATCGGCAGTTCTGAAAAAGAACCAAATTTCGATCCTCATATTAATAAAATGGATCAATGAATTGTTAAACTGGGCTATTGGGTTTATTTCTCTTGAGTTTATTAATATTTCAACACCACTATTTACGGGTATGTATAGACTATTATTAAGGAACATTAAACGTTGTGATTTGCCGTTTTGCTAAAGATATTAACATTTTTTCATGTTTAACGCACTTAAAAATGTTACCACATAATGATAATCGTAACTTGCGTTAGAAATTCATCTTGGTAATGTACTTATAATGATAACACCGGAAAGGAAACAAGTAGGCTAAATAAAATACAACTGCAGATGTTTATTTTATGCGCATTTAGGCTACTCGACGTCGCAGGCTTAACCTTCTAATTTTAATTGACCATTTTTATTAAACATTTTGAATGTAATTTAAGGTTTCTCTTTCTGTTTGCCCTGCACAGCTGTACAGTTATGCGCCCGGCCGGGGGAAAAAGTTGAAATCCCTTGTCGAAATGAAAGAAAACTCTCGAAAGTGAAATGGAGTTATTATAGAAACGGCGCGAAATCCTTTTTAATCTCCAGTGGTACAGATGGAGTGAGGAACTACAACGCAAACTTACAAACCCAAGTCAGAATTTCACACGACAATTCACTTGTTATTGAGAGTATGACAGGAGAGATTGAGGGAAATTACTCCTGTGAACTGTGTAGAAAAGACGATCTTTGCGAAGTAACAAACGCTTCCCTGTTACTGTTAAAAGGTAAGACGTATATGGAGATTAAACCAATGTCAGCTGACTACATGTTGATCAGATTTCACCCTTTTACCTTGAATTACTGTAGAGACATATCTGGGGAACAAAACGAAGGCGATCGCCGCGCCGGGCAGTGTTTTTACTCATTCTTGTCCAACCGAAGAGGCAGATAAGATGGACAGTCCAGCCAATGTGAAGTGGACGTCTGAATCAATTGGAAAACCGGTCATAACTTTCACCCTCCATGGTCGGTCTGCTACGGAAAAGCCGAAAGACCACAAGATGCTGCCAAACGGATCTATTTATTTGTCTGGTGTTGACAGCAGTGATGCAGGGAACTACAGGTGCTGGGTACAGAAACGTCCGTGTCACTGGATCAACCTGCTAACCGTTAACTTGTACGTTCAGTCAGGTAAGGAGAACTTAATAAATAGCCGGGGAAAGATTCATAAGTTAAAGTGAATAATAGACCATGATTCTCAGCCCAAGATCTGTAATATCAGTAGTTTGTCCAAAAAAAAAAAAAAAAAAGTAGCATATTTTGTCCTCCATATCAGAAAATTGGCAGAAATCTGGTATTTTACTTCTATAGATAATGCAGTCACTTTGTTCTTCCAATAACACCAGGAGGAATTTTAACCAATCCAACAGAGATGTTTTATAATAATAACAATATAATTCTGCTTATTAATTAACTGATCATTTTAAAATGCATATCTCAGTGCTCCATCTCTTCCTCCTCTTCATCAGCCTAAACTGGGAAGATTCTTATTTACTTATTTTTTAATCCTTTGTACTTGGGGATCATATCGACAGAAAACTTGTAGGATGAGGCATGTTAACCCATGGCGTGACTCAGTTATTTCTCAGATTTAAGGTCGGCTTAGTTAATTTTGAGTTTCATGCACCGCTTGGTGACTATGGCCTTCATTTTCTGTCCATGATCTTCCCTGTGGTAGGAAGCCCCGTGGATAATGTGAACCATGGGGGTTTGGGCCAAACTACTGAATCTTGGAACCAAACTGGCCATGGTAAGGATAAATCTCACCAAACTCCACAGTGGATGGTGTAGATCAGTGTTTCCAAACCCAGTTCTCGGGGAATCCCGGACAGTCCAGGTTTTTGCTTCCTCTCAGCTCCCAGCGGACCTGTACCAGGTATTTGGTGTTCCTGATTGGCTGGGAGCTGGGAGGGAGCAAAACTGTGGACTGTTCGGGGTTCCCCGAGGACTGGGTTGGAAAACACTGGTGTAGATTCAAAATGATTCTGGTTTTTAGTATACAGAAATAGAAATGGCACCCAGCTCACTTATAATTAAGACAGCTCTGTCAGACACCTAGTCATGCATTGTGTAACGATGGGGATTCATTCTGAGAAATGAGTTGTTAGGGGATTTCATCATTGTGCGAAAATCATAGAGTGTACTTATCTAGACCTAGGTGGTATAGCCTTCTACAAACTTAGGCTGTACAGTATACCCTAAATAATGATAATCAGTAAGTATAGTAAATACATTAACTAGTCACATGGTTATGTATCATCATTATCAAGTATTATATAGTGTGCATAATTGTTTGTGCTAAACTTGTATAAGACTGGCAGTGCAGTAGGTTTATTTACATCAGCATCACCACAAACAGCTGAGTATTGCGTTGCTCTATGACATCAGAAGGCGACAGGAATTTTTACATTATATTGTAATCGTATGGGATCACTGTCATATATGCAGTCCATCGTATAACGAAACTTTGTTATCTGACACATGATTATACTGACTATACCTTCAAATGCTAATCATTAGCATGCTAAACATTTATTCTAAGAACTTCATGTGGATTCTATGTGGATTAGGAGTATCTGAGATCACATATGAATCATCCGGTGTAGAGAGACATATTTAAAGCTGTTTTCTCTCAAGGTTGTCGGTGATTAATTCAAACTCTTCCATTTTCTTCAGAGTCGCAAGACAAAAAAGACTCCAGCCATAAAATGGCGGTGGTGTTTGGCACTTTGGTCACCTCTCTGCTTGCACTGCTACTTCTCTGCATGGTTCTCCACTGCAGATATAGAAGATCTTCAGGTGAGACACAAAATGTTGCACAGTGACACAGTGATGAGATCTATGGGAATGTAAGCAGCATGCATGTCTCTCTTTTCTGGCCTGTAACACATTAAAACAGGTTGCTGTCTTTATTATTTTTCAGAGATTACCACACCTAATGAGCAACTAAATCTAGAGCCTAACTACAGAAGCACAGAAAGCTCCAGACTAGAGGTATATTAGCAGAGTCTTATTCACTACAAACTCCTCTCCCAGTGTGTAATGCCATATGGTACAGACAATACTAAGAATCTGATACACAATATTATTAACTCTATTTACTAATTATTGTGTGCTGCTGCTGTATCACTACTATTAAGGCTATTGATACTTTTTTATTACTGTTGTAATTTTATTACTGCCTTATCCTTTTTCACAGATGAATGAAACTGAATATCATGTCTATTCTGTGGTGAACGTAACAAAACCAGAACAGAACTGTGTCATCGAAAGCCAGGACACTTGCGTTTATAGTTTAATCAAGATCCCATCAGCATGCACTTCTGGAAATGAGGGTTGAGAGTGGCTTTCGGTAAAGGCGCAAACTCACAAAGCCATCAGACACGGGCCCTGTTTGGATGAGGACCTGCCATTCTTTTTCTTCCCTGAGTTCCATGTAAACCATGATCAACATGAGATATGAACTGTGGAAGTTAACAGATAGAATGGTAAACATCAGAAAAGATAATTCCTTTTTTATAGATGTTAAAATACAGATTGCAAATATAAGTTTGGTTTGTGGTGAACTACAATTAAGATAACAATTATTTTTAAAGTTGGAAAATATTAACTTTTATTAAGCTTTAATGGAAGACCATACTTAGAGCTGGATAAAGACGGCAATACTGTGCACCCATTGTAATATGCACCCATTGTAACGTGCACCCATTGTAGCTATTAAAGTCACCACATACAGAGGTGACAGTGAAATGTCATAAACATTGCAGTGGTTGTTTTTAGCATTACTGTTGACTCTCATGAGCTTCTATTGTATATTTTGCAGATGCAGATGTGTTTTGGTGTTAATTACCTGCATTTTAGGTGAACTTAACGCGCTACTCATTTGTACTTTGTATGGAGGGAATCCAGCAAATAAATAATTTAATTAAAATGCTAAGATGATGTGCAGGATCTTTCTTACTCTCCTTCATGAATGAATCAAAGAATAATCATTATTCATATTAAACCAGAAACAGCAGTTAGTGGAATTTTCACCTAACATAACCATAACTGAACTATGTTTTTGGTGTCATAAGCAAATTTGTTAGAAAACAGATAATGACATTTAAACTGCTGTTGATGTGAAGAAGCAATGCGTTAACCTCAGTGGTGTGACCATCACTGTAAAACCAAACAGCAGACTGAATATCTTTTAACCTTTAACTGTGATATGGGAGCTTCATTAACACCTCTGTCTTAAAAAGATGATGGTGCCACATCCAATACGTTCGTTTTTTTTGCATAATGATTGTCACGCTTGGGCTCGGGCGAGCAGGGAAGCAGTCGAGAACAGCCAGGTAGTTAGGGAAACGGGGGTTTATTTGGAGGCAGACGGACATCGACGGACACTGCACACGACAATACAATGACAAGTCTGGGGTACATCGACTGAGACACGGACTAAATGCACAAGACTAGGCAAACGAAACAGGAAACAGCTGGGCACGATCGGGAAAGCACACATGGATAATGAGGGGGCGTGGCACACACTAGGAGCGGACGGAGCGGGGCGTGACAATGATATGAAAACATTGCAATTTCTTTAGAACAGTTCTACACATCTGATGTCCTGATAATTATATAATCCTTAAGACTATTAAATATTATGCCTGTCATTGGGTAATGCATAAATAACACTACAGCCCAGTGAATCAATACATTGCTCCTGAAAGATTGCATCATTGTGAGCCCAGTGATGGACGGCACATAATTGCATTGTTCACATGGATTGATGGCAGGGCAGCACATTCGTTGCCACAATCCTGCTAGGCTGTGGGTGTGAATCACCGCTATGCATGGAGTTCATATGGTATCTTCTCCTCATAATGCGTAGGTGTTGTCCAAGTAATCTGGTTTTCTCCTGCAGTCCAAAGAAATGGGTAGGCAAAGTGGCATTTGCTGTAATGAATGATTGTGTGTGGGTGTGTCTGCGTTCTGTAATGGACAGGTGTCCCATCCAGGGTGTGGCCCAGCTTTGAGATGCCTATGAAAGGCTTCAGGACCACCAAACTGACCAGGACAAGGGGATGGAAGATAAATGATTGATTTATTACATGATTTTGCCATTAATCCTGTTGTTCACTAACACAGTTGCAGTTTCTTTATGTCAAAGGATACTTTATCAATAGAAATACCAAACTTGGTCACAATAAACGCAAACGTCCCTTGCTCTATCTACGCACATCAACTAACAAAGAAAAACTTTCTTCTTCCTTTACATTTAGTTTATACAGAATATCATTGACAGAGCCACCTACTGGCAGGTTCTGTAAATCGTCCCAAATTAAAATAAGATTTCCTATATTACAGTTTTTTACAGACGCTAGAACACATTTCTCAATACTTAGGTCACTTTTGCAAAACTCTTCACACAGTGAGCACAACAGAAGTCTATGTGGGCTAAACTGAGGATCAATTATCATTGTTTTGGCACAAAATGCATTCAATCACCACTTCCCCCAAATTTCATGAATACTTCTCTCAGTCAGTGTTCGCCACCAGCAAAACTTTGTACAACTACAGCCGATTTTTCAGACGTTTAGATAATCTGTTCAAAACAGTTAACTTTCAGGTCAAAACCTAATGAAATTTAGAGCACTGTCAATTGAAACATGCTGCATTTTGACAGACAAAGGACACTATCTATTTGCACTAACACAGATAATTATGCTTTTAGCAGAAATTTCCTAATTTAGTTTTTGTTTGCTGCTTCGTTACCATCTACACCATCTATACAAATGAGGCCATGGAGTGTCCCTTTCCTTTTTGTATGGCAACACAATGTATTCTGTGCAAAAATAGTGGGTATGGCAACACATGTATTACAGTAAAACATTTACATTTATTCATTTAGCAGGCATTTTTATCCAAAGCGACTTACAGTGAAATACTGTATCTATAGGGACAGTCCCCCTGGAGCAAGTTGGGGTCAAGGGCCTTGCTCAGGGGCACAATGGTGGCACCCTCTGGGAATGAACTCTCAATCTTCCAGTGTTCCTAATGGGAACCCAGCCAGATCCCCAACTACTAGACCACCAACATCCCCCTAGATCACCACCAAGCATTTTACAATGGTTGAAGCTGGAAAGCTGAATGAAAACACACACCAGCCTGAAATTTCAGCTAAGAACCTATCTAGGAATTTGTTTGGTTAGTGCCAATTTGCCATATGTACAAAGGGGGCCATCTTTGGATTGGCATTTTCTGCTAGGAATGAAATATTTACATACTGCAAAAAAGAAACAGCAACACCTACATGATTTCTAATGAAATATATTGTAGCATTTCAGAATTGGTTGGTATTACAATTTTCACACGCAAAAGTAGTTCTTGTTTATTTTATTTTTACAATGCAACATGACAGTAATTTATGCCAAACTGGAGGATACAGCCACACTTTATATATGCAATTTGCAATGCTGAAAGTTGTTTGTGTTTTTTAGCCCATTGAACATTGAGTGCCCCAGTAGTGTTGTTGGCTGACAGCATTTGTTATTGTTATGGCAGCATGAGTCACTTTTGGGTGAATTGTGAAACGTTTTGGTGGTTGTAGTGCATTTTGCACCAAAGGTTAAGTTATGTGCTCAGGTGTGTATTGGTACAGCCCACTGTGTGAAGAGTTTTGCAAAAGTGACCTAAGTATTGAGAAATGTGTCCTAGCGTCTGTAAAAAACTGTAATTATTCGTTAACTAGTTATTGAATTAAACATTTCTATATAGCAATTTGCCCCGTCTTTGACATTACATAAAATTTCCATTAATTCAACATCAAACAATATTAATCAAATAATAAAGATACAACAAATCCAAGTCTGCCCCAAATCTCACCAAAGAGTGTCTTAGCAGTGTAATAATGAACCAATGGAAGGTTAGGTAGTTCTAATTGAATTTTGGTTTGTATATTGTCACTTTGTGTCTAGCCAAGAAGAATTAATGTTACCAAAGTTGACATGTTAAAATGCGTAGGACACGCTGTTAGAAGTCATTCAATGCAAAATGGAAAAAAAATCAGTTATTTAAATTGAGTCACACGCCACATAAACACCTTAAATATATCAAATGGCTGCAAGGACTACAGACCCACCAACCACATATACTGCAGATAACGGTTTGTTTTGCGTGTGGGTGTTCGCTGCTGTAAACAGTGTAATGTTTCGTCTGACATTGGCAACCGTATGTTGGCGTGTGAGTGTTTGAAAAATACTTGATGAGCAATGCGGTTCTTTATGGTGCACCTTGGCTATTAATAGCAATCCATACCGTATAGTGTTTTGCAGATGTTTTCACCTTTTACCACTCTTGTGCATAGTAGGAATAATTGTAGACTCAGCAGGTTAGTTGAAAAGCGCAATTACCTTCAAAATGGGCGGTTTAAAATCGCCCTAACGGCATGTAATTGACAACAATGGCGATCGTTATTTTAGCCAAGAAAATGGAATATTGCGATAACAAAGCAAACCAAATATATTCCACCTTATTAAACTGAGAAAAAATACTCATAGATGGTAGCCCACAAAGACACAGTATAACAATAAAACAACAACAACTTAAAATAGTTACATACAACAACACATTTGAATAATCAGTAATAACATGAGCAAACGCCAACCGCAGTCAAACCAAACAGCCGCTAATTCTAATTATCCAAGGAAACAGTCGCATTCTATAAAAGTTTTACTTAAGGAAACTCTTCAGTAGAGTTCGCTGAAAAATGTTTTAGAGATATTATTTTTGAACTGTTGAGATTTTAAGTTGCACTTATTTATCAAACCAACTTATGGTGTTTCCATATAGCCTACGATGCGTCAGTTCGAGCAGGAAAACTTTAAATACATCGTAATAAAAAAAATATGTGTCATGTGCTTTGGAACCTTTATCAACAAGTATGAGTTGTCCTATTAGCACAGTTTAAAGCAATATGGGTTTAAATTGCTGACGAATTAATTCAGCACGTTTAACTGTCATACAAATTAATCTCAAATTATATTATGGACTGCGGGAGGAAAGTGGTTTAAGCGGAGAAAAACATTCAATAGGACACCGTGATCTGACCCCGAATTTCTTGTGTTTTTTTATTCATTTTAATTCCGTTTGTTAAATTCGGTATAGTTAAGACTTTGTACATCTTTCGTATGTTTTACATTGTATTGTTCTTTACTTTAGGCTATTTAATGCAAGTATGTGCTACTGCTGTGTCATTAAACCTGCTGTACGTACCCAGACTTGCTTCGTATTTTATATAGGCCTAATTAAACAGGATAATGAAACGGATCGTAAAATAGAACTCGACGTGTCAAAATAGTTTAACAAAAACTTCTGAAAAAAAAACATGTGTAACCTTTAAAGTAGTGGGGGAAGATGTGTGGGTGTTCGTGAATGGGTTAGAAGTCAGGCTACAGCACCTCACGTTGTTTATAAATTTTATATGCTTAGTTTGTATGAATTAATGTAAATAAATGAAATAATGATTGGGTATAATAAAAGTTTTAAAGATGTTTTAATCATTAAAAACAAACTAGGTCTAAATCATGAAACAAGTAGTGCTATGGTTACTAATTATTTGTGCTCTTATTTAATTCTTAAATTCGATTTTTAAAAGTAATTTTCCCTCCACCCATTTTCCATTAGAAAGAGGAAAACATGCAAAATCCACACAAAAAAATCTACGTAAATTTCATCTACACAGGAAAAGCACACGTTTTTATAATCGTTATAGTATTATAGAATTTAATTCATGATTATATTCTTTGATTCATTTGCGCAACGTTTCAGTTTGGATTGAACTATGATTTGAATAATTATTGTTTTAAGATAAGTTTGTGATTCACAGCAGCCGCATGCGCAGTAAAGTAGCGGCGAATTTGACTGGTGTGGAGCTCGGTTTGTACGTTTTCGAGCATCTCTCGCTGCTGATATATCTTACATATTAATTATATTTATATTATTGGACCGACTACAGTGTCCAGTGTCTTTAAGGAACCTTTTGTAGGTGGTGAGTGCTGTCTTATAGTCCGCGCTGACTTCTTCAAGCACACGAACAAGAGGCCGGCGGATCCACGGTCTGTAGTATTTGCGGCGCCCGGTGGGCGAAGCGTCCGTTTCGCGCAGTTTCAGCGCTCATCTCTTAGTATAAAGTACGTTACTTGTTCATATTTCGCTCGTTGGGCAGTTTGACGAAATAACGATTAGTATCTTACAGATGGCGTTTCGAATACCGGTGCAGACTTTAAGGTGTGGGTTGTGTTGGTTTTGCTCCCGTTAGCCGGTGAGCTAATGTTCCAGTGGCAGGCCGTGTTGTTCTGCATCATTGTACTGAAGTTGTGTGTATGGACTGTGTTTCAGACTCAGATGTGCAGCTTCTCGGATCCGGTCTGTCATATCACTGCTATTATTGTCATTTTTGCACGACTAGTGGCGGTAGGTTTAATGTCCTCGCCGGTGCTGTTTTTTCAGGAGCGCGATGGAGGCACCCCCAGTCACTGTCATGCCCGTCACCGGCGGGACCATCAACATGATGGAGTACCTCCTGCAAGGTGAGCGCCGTGCCGTGCCTGCCTGCCGGCCGCTCGCTCGCTTCGGGGTGCCTGTGGCTGGGTCGCGTGGCGGGGCACCACGCGGCTGGAGCTGAGGCAGCCCCGCCAGGTGTTGCTCTGCTTCTGTGCTGGACTGCGTTGAACAGGATGTAACGGGTGAAGTTAGTCATAGGTTTTATCGCTTTGTATCGTCTTTCCGTGCGTACAGATGGTATTTCCGTAAATGACAACTGGTACAATATTATACAAGATGTTTTTTCCCCCCCCATCTTGATTTATTTTAGATGCCCAAATTTCTCTGTTCTCAGACTTGGTTTCTGGCAAAGGCGTCCGAATCTACTTTACGGAGTTAACTAATCAGAGCCCGGAACATAATTTTATAAATGTACAGATCACAATTTATTTTCTTCAAAAAAGTAATTTAAAATTGTTTTTAAAAGTTGTGGGTTGTAGTGTGAGCCTGGAGCCTATCCTGGGAAGAACTGAGTAGAGGGCAGAGGGCACCCTCAATGGGATGCCAGTTAGTCCCATACAGGCCTGAAATTAAAGCCAGAGCCCAGCCCAGTACCCAAGACCTTGAAACTGAAACTGAACCTGACCCAGCCTGAATAGTACTCTCAAATCTAGACCCCAAAACCTGAAATTGTGAAAAACAGGAATTAATCATATGCATATGCAGAGATGGATTTTCACAAATGGCATTTTAAAACTGCATAGCTTGTATGTGCTGGGAAGATGGTAAGACTAATGCAAAACACAGATTTCTTAATTAACAAAAGCCAATCAAAAAACTAAAGTTTATACTATTATTCATTAACACTTAGTCGAACCTAACAAGTGCAAAAAATGATTTGTGCTTTTTTTAAATAAAAAAAAAAAAGCATAAAAAAACTAACCCAACCCAAGCCTTAAGTTGAATATAAAAACGGACCTGTACCCGGCCTGAAACCCGATACTTTGTCTGAGCCTGGCTCGGGTTGGGTCCCAGACCTCTAATTGCAGTGCATCACAAGGTACACGCTATAGTAAATATAGAGAGACCAGTTCACATAACCACACGTTATTGGACTTCGAGAGCAAAAGTGCAGAAATGCAGGGAGAATATGCAGTGGTGTGTACATATGTATTTATCCATCCATCCATCCATCCGTCTTTAGCTTGTCTTGGTGAGTGGTTGTGCTGGTGGTATGCTGGGCAGGTCACACCACACCATCATTCCAAGGCCTCATACTCAAATTCCCAAGATCCCCAAATGTTCCCAAGCTGACTGGGAAATGTAGTCCTTCCAGCCTGCCCAGTGCCTGTGTAGCACATGCCTGGAACATCTCCGTTGGGAGCCAACAGGTGGGATTCTTCTGAGATACACAAATCACCCTCCAATTGCATATCCAAGTCAGGGGTTGGGGGGACCTGCAGCTTATCCCAGCATCACAGGGCACAAGGCTGAGGACACCCTGAATGGGACGGCATTCAAAAAAGCACATTTCTTAAAAAAGGTGTTTGCACAATTTACATTTGACTGCTTACTTCTTTTAGTTGCACAACAATGATGTGCATTCACAGATGTCAGTGGTTTTACTTGTCGGTATGCAGGTCCATGACCTATATTGTGCCTGGGTCAAGTGACCCCTTTCAAGAAGTGAAAGCTGTCAGCTCACACATGAAGTGAGAGTTTTGGTGTAGATTGGCTGGCCCAGATCACATGACTGGTACCCTGTTGTTTTTGGGTTGGTGTTATTTAGGCCACACTAATACGTTTTCATTTAGAAACAAAAAAATTATTACGATTTAGCCTTCCACCCTCATTACCGCGGATCTTCTCAGAAGCAGAGAGAATTTTCAACGCTGTCTGGCAAATAATCTTTCTTTCAACACATTAGTACAGACGCTTATGAATGTAAAAATTTTGTTACACCTACATCAGTAAGTTCCAATTGGTTTGTACTTAGCTCTTGGCCCTTTCCTGATTAGCTCTCTTCGTTTCGATGTCTCTTTTCTTGATTGGTTATTCTTCACAGAAATGAAGAATGTTTTCACATGGAGGACAGGTCATATAGGACTTTCACTACCTGGCAAATGTTCTTGTATGAAGCTAAACATATTTTGTGTATATTGCATGCTGCTTACAAGCAAAGACATCTATGAATTTACCGATCTCTACTTATTACAGCTAAATTGCATAAGACTGGAGTGCAGGGAGAAGAGTGTGAATAAAATATGTGGTAAATGAGCTAAATATACAGTAATATGTGCATTTCCTTTAAACACAAGGTTGGTTGTGAGAGTATTCAACAGTCAAAACTTCACAAATCAAACTCAAATTAAATCAATCAAAATGTATACTTTGTTAGTAATAGAATTATAAAAAATTTTGGTTGGACAAAAAATTGGGCAAATGATCCCTTGTGCTCGAGCTACAACAAACAAAATATGAAGCTGGTGAGAGCGCATGCCCAGTGGCGGCTATTTGCATCCTAAGCTATCAGTTTCTTTTTACACGTTGCAGTTTGGATGCAATGTAAAGAAATTTTACTGCATTAGTGCGGACATAGTCTTATATAATAAACTAAATCTGATTTTGAACATTAAAATATTTTGAGAACACTAAAAATTAGATGCAACGAATGCAGTTTCCTTGACTGATTCTGATTTCTGTTTTTTTTTTTTTTGCAAGTGTGGCTTGCCGATCCCGATTTTCTAAGAACTGTAATTGACAGCATACACAAACAAAAATCAACTTGTCTTCAATGCAAAATTTTATTTTCATATGAGCAAATTGTTAAACTTTACAATTTCCCCCAAACTGCACTAAGTTACAGGATCTTCTCTCACTTAAACGAGTCTCAGAATAAAGTGCTGTGTGACTGGAAAGAGGTACAAATAGCAATTAACTGAAAATGAGTTGCTGTACACCCAACTTTATCTGACATATTTTACTGTACCAAACAAGAGCAGGTGCAACAGCTTTAAATAGCAAAACAAATGTCAGTTACTTATATTCACCAGATAACACGACATTGACCTTTTTTTTTAAATTTATTTTACTCGTCTTAAACTCCACAGGTTACAAACCTCCAAATAAAACTGAAGTATACTATTCTTTTCCAAATAACAGGTGCAGGGTAATGTTATTAATACTAACATCGCATGTTATACACATACACGTACAATTCTTACATCACTAGTAAGCTAGACTAAGATCAGCCTTTTTTATACATTCATAGTGCAGGGATTAAAATTTTCATAGGAAAAAACCTTAGCTTGCTTTGAAATTTTAATGGTTATTCCAATTCAAGATTATATGTTTCATAACCACTTTAAAGTTTACCTCTGATGTTTCACCATGTTTTCGTGGTGGTTCCCCCATGGTTTACTTTCGCTTTACATGTATTACAAATTACAGTCTTTGTGTCGTTTTCACTCACAGTGAAGAACCTCCACGCTAAAGACATGCTAGCATGTGGCTGTGACTGTGCACGCAGGTGTGAGGCTATTGCCTGCGTTGTTGTGTGCATGACTTGTGGTGCATGTGTAAAACGGACCGGTTTGGTATCGGAAATTCATTCCGGGCCAAGCACGCTGAAAATTGTCCGATTCCAGTCCCTGGATGGTGTATCGATGCAGCGCTACTAAAAACGTGTCATTTATTGTTGCTGCAGATGATCACGGGTACTGATGCGTGGAAGCATTCACACCTTTATCGATGTGGGTGCTAAAACAACCACCGCAGACTCTGTTGAAACCATGTCTCATTTGTCACTCAGCTGTTCTTCCTTTTATCTACATTTTGTAAATGTGACCTCCAGTGGTGAAGAAAAACTTTTCACCGCATTGCTGGTCCACAGTGTGGTGTTTTCATGCATGAAGGGGACCATACAGGCCTTTCGACACCGAGTCTGTTGTTTTTTTCACATGAAGAAACTGAACAACATTATTCTGAAAGGACAAACTTATGTCTATGAAAGCATTCATACCAAGTCTGACAAATTTGCAGTGTATGATTTGTCGTCTTTTTTTATTCTGTGAGAGCTCCATTTCTGCAGTTACAACCAGTAGCATGTCAAGTTTTATACATGTGATCAGTTTCTTTTTTCTCTTGAATAGCAAGAAAACTATTCATTTGGTTTACAAGGCATGCCTGTAGTGATACCACTGATTTTCTTTTCGTTCCGACTTCAGTTTGATCCAAGGATGGTACTGCAGATGACGATATTCAGTGCAGGTCCAACCCTGATGAGGAATATTTAACAAACTGGGGGGTGGGGGTGTGCTGGTAGATGGATCGTACAGTGTCTGGGCCATTTTTCTTCTTTCCCCATTTATGGGCGACCCTGCACAATAGTAGCTCATATCCTGTTCCATATAATAATATAAATATTTAACTTACAAGGTTACAAATGTTATTTTAACAGTAGAATCGATTGTCAAACTGAAAACATTGGGATCAAAAGAATCTTATCTGACGACAAGGTGCATGTTATGCTCTTTGCAGCTGTTCTGGTTTCTTTTTTTTCCTTTTTTAAGGTTTTGTAATATGTGTCTTGGATTATATTAGACCATGGTCATTTATTAATATTTTTATTTTGCTTGATTTATAGACCTATTTCTATACGATGAATATCCAATAAAAATTTGGATACATCTAAATGTCTTTTTGAGCATCTGAATCCGTTGTTGTATAAGCTTTTAGAATTGGATGTATCGATTATATTTGCCTTTTTCTTTTCACTTTTTTACCCAAAAGAAACAAGGAAAAACTTGTCATAACTGTTACCGGTGCCTGTCAGTTTGATTTCTATCGGTATGTGAACTTTTCTGAATCAGTTATGAAAATTTGCATCTGAATATTTTGCAGATTTGTGTTTTTTCATGTGCTATTGAGCCATGTCACGGTCATTCGCACTCAACTGTTGAATCACCCAGCGCCCGAGGATCGCCTCTTGCTGGCCACTGGCCCTTTCGGTGTAAAGGTTTCGCGACTCTGGCCCTCGGTGTGTTGATCCTGTTTGCCTGCCTCTTTGCAGGAAGTGTCCTGGACCAAGCTCTAGACAGCTTACTGCACCGTCTGCGTGGCCTCTGTGACAACATAGAGCCCGAGAGCTTTGCCGACTATGAGTTGGTGTACCTGCTCAAAGGCCAGCAGGGCAACCCCTTCCTGCTGCGCGCCCGTCGTTCCATGATGCACCCCACTGCGCCCTGGCACCTGCGCTACCTGGGCCAGCCCGAGGTGGGCGACAAGAGCCGGCATGCGCTGGTGCGCAACTGCGTGGACGTGGCCACCTCACACAGCTTGCCCGAATTCCTCAACGAGATGGGATTCCGCCTCGATCACGAGTTCGTCGCCAAGGGCCACATCTTCCGCAAGGGGGCGCTGAAGGTGGTGGTGAGCAAGCTGTTCCGTGTGCTGGTGCCAGGGAACACGGAGAACACGGAGCCGCTGTCACTGTCCTACCTGGTGGAGCTGAGTGTGCTGGCGCCCGCCGGCCAGGACAACGTGTCGGAGGAGATGCGCAACTTTGCTGAGCAGCTCAAGCCCTTGGTGCATCTGGAGAAGATCGACCCCAAGAGGCACATGTAATGCGGGCTAACTCAGAGGACCACTTCACAAAATAAGATTGTTTCTACGGATGGACACTGTGGTTTTTTTTCTTGAGGTTTCAACCTCAGTGCTGAGGTTTGACCCTCTATTCCCTTTTGACTCTTGTTCTGGAAGCGTCAACATTTCTATTAAAATGCTTTCATACTGCACCCTTGTGGTGTGAGGAACAATAGCATGTTATACATCTTTTGTGTTGTAGTTTGTTCTTTCTTTGACTGAAGCACCATGATTTCTGTCAGTAGTAGCAAGGTGAGGATTTCCACCTTAATATGCTGTGCTGTAGTTCATAGAGCATGGGAAACAAACGCACCTGAATTTGAGGCAGTATAACATTACATATATACAGGTTTTCCAGCTAGTAATTACCCCGTCTACTTTGTCAATTATTTACCTTCGTTTTGCCATTTCACATTTAAAGAGTAACAAGCTAGCCTATGAATGCCCTTGGTATAATTCAATATAATGATTTTATGAGCTTTTTACAAACATATTAGTCAAGAACAAGTAGCAAACATGGTCATCTTCTGTTGCTAATACTAGAAAGTAGCATTTCCCAGTCCGGTCCTTGGGGACCGACAGATGGTCCACATTTTTGCTCCCTGCCAGACTCCTCATTTCTGCTCAGGGAGCTGAGAGGGAGCAAAAACTTGGACTGTCTCTAGGCCCCCAAGGGCCAGATTGGGAGACACCGCTGTAAAGGTTTGAAGCCATGTGTGGGTCAGGCTAATAAAAAGGTTCCATTAACAGCTGTAGCTGTTAGGGCAACTTGATTGTGACAGCAGTGCGCGGCGCTGTGAGAGGCTGGCTGACCCGCGGCCAGGCGGGACAACAGGCATACTGTTATGCCGGGGGTTAGAAGGAGGGGACGGAACATCTCCGCCACCAGGACATTGGGGCTGCACCGTTTGACGACATGTATAGGGCTGAGGCTGGAGAACAGTATGGATTAAACAAAAAAGGTATGAAAAGTACGACATTAAGAACAAAAGTAAGTAAAAATCAATGACCAAGGAACTTTACATACAATGGGGGCTGAGAGACACTAATCCCTGGAGTTGCCGTCCTCCCTCCATGTCTCCTGCCTTATCCAGCTGGTCTGTAAATGACCATAACAAGGACCGACTGAGTTCCACTGAAGGGATTCTCCTGTGGGCCAAGGCTGCCGATGACTCTCCATGGGTGAAATGCCACAGTTTCTGATTCCATAAACTTAAACACCCTCACATCCACCCCAAAGTCAGGGAATTTTCCCCAAGCTGTGCCTTTTATTGCTAGTGCTAGGCCTTCATTAAATCAAAATGGGGGCTATGACGTGCTAGGCCTTCATTATATCAAAATGGGGGCTATGGCGTGCTAGGCCTTCATTATATCAAAATGGGGGCTATGGCGTGCTAGGCCTTCATTATATCAA